GCCTGGCTCTGCCTCCCGAGTGCTGGGATTAAAGGCGAATGCCACCACCGCCCGGCAACTCTCTTATTCTTATGTTTCTGGTGGGTTTGTTGGTTTGGGGACAGGGTCACCCTACATAGTCCAGGCTAGCCTCAAACTCCTGCTAGTCCTGCCTCCACCGTCCTCCTGTGGAGACTGCAGTGTGCACCCCCACATCCGATTTCTGCAGTGCTCGGAATGGAACTATGGCTTCACAGATGCCGGACAAGCAGTCCAGTGACTGAGCTACAGTACCCACCTCTTGTTTTAGAGCTGGCCTTGAACTTATAGCAATCCTCCTGCCTCATCTCCAAGTACTGGGGTGGCAGGCTCCTGTGACTCCCTCTAGCAGCCACCATGTGTTTCCCCGTCCCCTTCAGTGGGCTGTGATGGAGACGGAGGGACCCCTCTTTCTGCGCTAGCTTCCGGTACCGGACAGCAAACCCTGGTTTACCTTCCACGGAGACGCCTTCTCCAGGAAGCCCTCCCTGGCCTTCCCTGGGGCCTCACCTCCTCAGGTCATCATGGAAAGGCAGGAACAGCCACTTCTCAGGCATGTCCCTGAGGAACAGGTCTTGCTGCTCCTCCGTGGGGTCCTGGGACACGTAGATCAGGGCCAGCTGGGCTGCCCGCACCACGTAGAACTCATCCGTGAGCCGCACGAAGAAGTCTTTGAGGACCGGGGCAAAGGCCTGGCACTGGGGACAGGCCCCGGCCCCGAAGAACAGCAGCACAAGGCGATTCTCCAGCCGGCGGCTCAGCTCGGCCTCGGTCTCCACCTCATCCTGGTCACTGTTGTTCCTGATCAAGATGCGGCCAGAGAAGAGGGAGGCCATGGCGGCAGTGTGTGAGGGGCTGGGGACCCAGGAGAGGGATCCGCTGTGGCCCGGAGCCTGCGCACTGGGCTCCCCGAGCCCCAGGAATAGGAACCCCAGAAGCCAGATTAGCCGCTAATCCTCCTGTAGGTCGACCTCCACAGGGCCAGCATTGGTTGGAGGCGGCAGGGAGGTCTCATGGACTTCCACAGAGCCAAGCTGCTTGTGAGGCGTTAACAAAACAGAAAGCCTGTGAGCCCAGCACTGAGGCAGGGGGATCACTGCAAGTTCCAGCACACCCTGGGATATATGACAAAAAATAAGAGGGGATGCCGGGCGTTGGTGGCGCACGCCTTTAATCCCAGCACTCGGGAGGCAGAGCCAGGCGGATCTCTGTGAGTTCGAGGCCAGCCTGGGCTACCAAG